TGAAATTAATCTAATCAATGTGTTGTCTAGTATCTTGCTAATTTATAACATTGTCGTTGTAACGAACATGGAAAGGCAAAAGTTTGAAAGTTATATTACAGAAAGGAAGCAATTTTGTAACAACAGACAACACTTCCGTAAATCTTTACATACACAAGGTGAATCACTTCCTTCATTGTTTGTCGCAAATATTATGAATTTCATTCTGATATCTTTCTTTTTCCGTTGCCTATTCTTACAGCGCAAAAAGATGAAGTTAGAAGATGGCAGTATTCTTTATTTCTTTGTTATTATAAATGGTTATGAATGAAATGGAAAGTATAGTAGAAACAAAACTTATATCATCAGTTTTGTTTAGTATCCAAAACTTACGATATCCGCAATTTGTAGGTGCAACCATCAGACTTGCGATTTTTTGTATTTACCAGGGAATCAATTCGAATGCTATTAAAATCATTTCCATCGCTAACTTTATTCACGAAAAGCTCTGGTTAGTAAAAAGTATTCAACGCTTTGAATTTCACATAGCTAAAATCGATTTTTGTTAATGTCGATTTTGCATTTGTAGGTGTAATTTAAGTATAGTACCTTTATTTCCAAGCCCATGCTCTGTTTGGTTATCAGAACAAATATTTTGACATTTCATTCAATATTCTTCAATACTAAGATTTTCAAAATTTGCAGACGACATAATATGGTCACTGCATTTATGGCAGGCAGAGATGTACTCAAAAAATCCATACGAAGTACCCGCAGCTGGGTTCATACTTGTCGATAATTTATCAAAACTGATTATGGATAGTGATACCCGTTTGGATCAGAACGTCACTGAAAATTTGTTCAATTCAAACGAAATGATCAAGGAGGGACAGTTCATAACGAAAGAAATAAAAAGGGAGCAGAGGCGGAAGATGCTTCAAAGTAAACTGGTCGCACAATCGAACATGTTCGAAAAATCTGAGGGTTCAACAAGTCAGTGTAGCGTGTATTTGCAAACGGAGTTAAAACAGGTTCAGACAACGTACGTCAAGATAACGGAGCTTATCAGTGAATTACTTCATAAAGAATGGGATGAAATGTTGATTTACATGAAACGTGAAGAAGAAATCTTAAAGTTAGAAAAAGAATGTGAGCAACAAAAAGGGCTGAAAGGAAAAGTACTGAATTTACAACAACAACAGAGAAAACAACTGGCTGAATTGCGGATTCTTTTGCGTAAAGTCCTGAAATATCAAGATATTGTAGGATGTGAACTGTTGATAAACATTGAAAAACTGGAACATAAGTCAGATATAGCGAAGTTTAAAACCGACCAAATTTATTTGCGAGAGGCTTATCGTCACCATCAACGAATGCGACGTGTGACATTGTTCCAGACCAAAATTAAGCAAAATTTGGAAAATTTGCAGAAACAAATGCAAGAAACGATCAGAAATAGTTGTAGGGTGCAATGGACGTTAGATACACTCAAGCCACAGGTAATAGCCACTACGATTTCTACTTATACTCCTTGATACTCATCTGTTAGCCTTTTATTTTATAACTTAAATTTATTTCACTTCGAATCTTTGGAAAGTTACATCTTCGAGACATGAAATAATTTGCATAACTTTCTACAGGTAGAAAGAAATCGAAGATTTTCGCAGGTTCAACGGAGCAAAGGATTGGCTGAATCAGTACAGGGGACCAAACCAATATCGGGACAAACGCACTGGAGAGGTGGTGGCGCAAAACAGAACTTTCACGCAACAGCAAATAAACACTCCCATTACGACAATGGGTTTCAACAGCAGCACTGGCGTCGGCAGTCAAACAACGGAATATTCTGGCGGAATAATTGTAATGGAAATCATTAACTCATTTGCTAATCACAGATTCCTATTTCTTTCCAATTTTTTACTCACCATCTGCATTAAATAAACGAATTTTTGTGCCGAAATTTTCATATTCTGCTTGGAATTGAATAACAACCAGTAAGGAAGTACGGAATTCATCGGTAATTCGGGAAATTTGAGAAGGAACTTAAATTAATTTGGTGTATGAGATGATACAGTATCGCTGGAAGTAATATATCATTTTGTGTGGGTCATTATTCCGTATACTTTCAGTGTTTCTACTTTAATCGTAGCGGCAAAATAAAAATAAGCTTCATGAATATCGTGAAACGTACACTTGATTTCGTGATTTTGCTAATGAGAATGATTTCATGCCATCAGAGCACCTCATTGAAGAAAAAAAAAAGTTTTACAGCGAACTGAGTCTTTCAAATAGCTTTGTTAAAAATGTCTTAAATAACGAAGTGATGACTGTTTAAGACGCTATGTGAACCCATCCATCTTGGAAATGTGTGAAATGTGAATTAAGTAGCATTTTGCAATATGATTGTCAATTATGCAAAAATCTTCCAAAACCAAATATCGAGGACAAAATTGTCCCAATGATTTCATTGTTGGTACTTTGCATACTACGACGCGGTATAACAAAAACGGCTATAGAGCCTTTCAAAAAAGATTTCTGATATCGGCTTTCATGTTATTATTTTCAGATATAGAAAGATCTATTATAATTTTTATATGGATGGCAATTTTTGGTCATTCGATTTTATTTTGCATAGATATCATCATGGATTACTGCGATGATAATTGTCCCAGACTTTTAATCACTGTTTACATGTTCGTATCATTTACTATTTCATAAGTATCGCTCAGGAAATTTGTTGTTGGATGTTTATCAGAGTTTCTTAAGCTCCGTTTATATGTTTATAAAATCAATAAGTTAGGCTGCTAATGTGATGATGATATTTGCCTTCAGAGGTCCTTTTCACGACCTTATGCAAGACACGATGCAGCAAATTTAAACCTCTCTAGAAATTCACATTTTTTTGATTCAGCACTGTCATCACATTAAGTTATCGAATCTAACATATTCAGATTTTCGATGGGAAGATGTATTTTTGTTTACTTAGGGCGAAAATTTTAAACAGTGAAATTTGCGGCTACGAAATTTATGTAAATTAAATAATTTACCATATGTTATTAAACCTATAAAAAAAAATTGTAATACAACAATTCAGCTTTTCCAGATTGAATATGTTGCTATCGTGATATGGTACAAATTACAGTGCAGATGGTATATTCATTTTCAGATGTTGATTGCATTCCATTTTATATTTGATTCCTGTTATATTTGAAAATAGTGACAAGATCCTTATCATTATTAATACTTGCAAAACTTACAAATTGTTACTTTCCATAAAAGATTAACTTTTTTCTTATAAATAATTTGATGCCAATAGGTAAGAATGTCTTCGCCATAACCAATTTTCAAAAAATGTCCGTTTGCCAGCAATTGTGTCTTGAAAGGAAATATTGCTGCAAAATTTCACCTGTGTCGGCGCGTTTGTTAAAAATTACAGGGTTATTCTCTGGATAAGTTTCTTTGAGTGCGAAAGTCATTATGACTCTGTGTGTATTGCAATACAACAGAAATGCAAACAAGTCAGTATGCTGCATCTCTTCCTAATCGGTTAAGACTTGGCAATTTGAATTATCTCTAATCTGTTAAAGAGGCCGAAGTACAGCTTATCATTTAAAGAGAAAAAAAATATTGTTTTCCAATTAGAATTACCAATATTGGGGAAAGAATTGATTCGGTGCCGCATTATTCTTAAATGTGAATCTTTCAAAACTATCCTATTTGTGGTGCTCCAATCGCAATACTTTAATGTTATATGATATTTCAGAATCCAATGCAACGAACCGAAAAGCACAATAAATTTACACAAATATGGCATCTGTATGAAATGTACGTTTTTTAAACCTCTATAACGATTTCTTTTGTTGTTATGTTTCAACAAACGGTAAACTGAATTTTTCCATGATTTCAAGCACTTTAAAATCTTTCACCAAATGAAATAAGAATTTTTTAAGTTATGAAATTTATTCGAGCAAAAATTTTTTACTTCAGTGATACCAGAAATGAAGTGGCAATCAGAGCATATATAATCGCTGAAAGTTTTCAACAAAATTATTCTGCAGAAGTCACAATTGATGAAGTTAGAAAAGAAATTTTTTCACATAAAAACCTTTATAATCTATTTTCGAAGCAAAGCACTACCATTATTAATGATGTAAGCTGCTTTTTTCTTCTCGTTTTTAAAAAAATTACTCGAAAAGCAGGATGAAAATTTGCGCATTGTCGGCAACATTGGATCTTTTGGTCATTTTAAATTAATCCCAACCTTTCATGATGCAGGAATTACTTTAAATCTAACTTTGATTTTCAAATTAAAGAAAAACTAAATTTACATTTAAAAAATTGGATTATACATTTTAAAAGTCCGAATGTACCCGCTATCATTGAAAAGATGATTGATATCGCGCTTGCTTTATATTTTTTGAGGCAGCACGACATCACTGCAAATAATAGGATTAAATAGTAAAATTTTTTAGGTACTAAGAGTGCTGGGTGCATTGTTACAGGTGATCAACGAATAAGCAAAAGAGAAGCGCTTTGGGATAGAAAACGGAATGCCAAGTTTTGGCTTTAATTTGCTCAATCTTTATGTAGCGAATGATATTTGTTTGAAATTTATTAATTTGT